AACTATCCATGTGATCATCCTTGAAAATTTTACTAGTATTGTAACGGCCCTGGAAGGGCTTCACGGAATGCAGAAGAATCGGCAGTAGATGATGAACTGAATGACCCAAAAAGCAGCGACAAGAATGCTGCACATCTGGCATTTCCCTCTGCACAACGAAGAAAGCAGATACGAGAAACAGAATCACCGGTAGATTGATCAAGAGATGTTTGAACTTCAATTGAAGCAATTACGGAGGTACTACGAACAACCGATTACAATAAAAGTGCAAAAATCTTTATATCGCAGTGGAATCTGGGCTTGCTTCCGGCTTCATAGCCTTCGTTTTTCAGGAAATCTTGCGGCACACTTGCTTATTTCCTTTTTTCAGATCATCTGTTGACTTTCTGGATGCACTAAGTTGCTTCTAATTGCTGACATCCCTAGTCGATCAGATGCCTGCGGCAGTGTAGTGCTCGTGTAGCAGCATTCGGGACGTGTTGGTGGTGCTTATTAGACAGATCAGGAACATCTTGAAGCAGTAGAAGCTTTGCTGTATGTCTCTGCGAAAAAGCTATTGAGTCACTGAACTCCCTCGGAAACGAAAAGAACGTCAGTTGGCCAGAAAACTGACCACCAGACGATGCAACATTGATCAGAGCAGCCGAAAAACCGGCTGGAGAAGCAATCTCTGAATTAATAGATTCCGGGGATAATTTGATGAAAATATTATTAAGCTGTGCAATGCTAATGGCTTCTGAGTTACGTGATTTGTGTTACTTCTTAGTATGTTTGGTTTGCTGCTAGCAGTTATGCTCAGAATTACACATGAAGAAAGAGAGCTGTGCATGTGATGCTTTCACAGAAATCACCGTTCGATTCCATTTTTCCGACTTTTACAGATTGTACCGCCACCGGAATTTCATGCAAGAAAATCAGGCGACTATTCAGATGTCGACGACTATATCATCGACCAGTAAGTCCCTTTCGAATCTCTCATAATGCCTCTTGAAGTATGATTCAGAACTTAGATGGGTGAAGGGGAAAAAAGGGGAAAAGGACACCTTTTCTCATTTTAGGTAAATATTAAAATTGGAATTTGCCCGACCCCAGTTTTGCGATAGTTCGTTGCATCACTGCTTTGATTCGTAGTGCTTTTTTTTCTTCTTTCAGACCGGTCAAGGAAAAAATTGAGGGACATTCCGGAATTTACGTCAAAACGAATCGTTTGTATCGACGATCGATGAGCGTGCGAGAATATCGTGCACTTGCCAAAAGGATGCCTGGCCCAAAGGGTAAATTATCTCCGCAGGAGATTGAGAAGTAAGTGCGCAAGGTTTGCTGCAGATCAAAAATAATCTTTGTAAATGCTGGACTTCACCTGTGATGATCCAGTTTCAGTAGGCATTTTAACTGAATTGTCGCGGTTCCTCTCATTCTGGAAATCGATTTTTAATTCTGGCTCGCTCCCATGACTTTTTTTGTTTCTCTGGCTTAGTTTACTGATATAACTATTACTGAATGCATTAGCTGCTTGAAAAAATAGACCAGACATATTGTACTCAGATGTCATGTGTAAGGTGATATTTTGCAAACTGTCTTTCATCTTCGTTTAGATGTAGTAATAAGATGATATTTTACGATGCAGTCTGTGTTTCATCCCTGAAAGCGAACTTAAAATTTGTTGAGGTACTACTGGCAACATGTATTGCAAGGTGAGCCAGTGTATGGTGCTGACACACCGGGTTCGATATGTGACAAAGATCTTGCGGAATTCAACATGAATAATCTGGGCACGGTGCTCGATTTGCTCGATGAAAGTGGAGTAAGTCATTTCTGAAAGAATTTTTTTTAATTTTTCTACAAAATTGGCACAGTGCATGCATTTTTGCACGAATCAAAAAGAAAACTTTTATGGCGAGAGCACGTCTTTGCCTTCACGTTCATCCATGCTTGACAAATATCGCGTAAATTCGGCAGCTAGTTGCTGTACCCGGTAGAGTGCTGTTAGATTTAGGTCGTTTTTTCCGCCCTTCAGATCAGAGGCAGAAGGAGGCGCATTCCTAAACGCCATATCGTATATTCTAAGAATTGGACCGCTTGGACTCCATGCAGTTTTCGAGCACCTTATCAGTTCTTAGAAAACGCCGAAGATGCGGCCAAAGCAGAGCAGTTTGTGCAGTTACCTCCTTTTGAGATTTTTCTGAAGAGAGTAACTGAGAATTCCTCGAATCTGAGAATTGCTTTTGCAAATTCAAAATAATTTGTTCAGGGTTATAAATCATGAGCCAGGAAAAACTGTAAATTCGAATTTCTGGCTTTAAATCTCTCTCGTAATTTGAAACTAGAAGAATTTACCTCATAATTTAAGACGGATGCGAATTTGTCTCAATCTAAACGAGAAAACTTAATTTCTAACCTCATTTTTTCTGGACTCGCGTTCTATATTACTGTGACCATTTCATAGTCCTAAATGGAGAGCAAGTGATAAATCTGAAATTTTCATGCTTCTCATGCCATTTCGGTCAAAAAATAACCATGACAAAGTTCGATGAGATGTGATACATATTTTTTCATCAAACGGAAAATGCACATCAAAAAAAAAAAAAAAGAAACCAATTTCCTATAGTTTTTCGCGCGTTCACTGAATTACTCTACGTCTTCAAACACTTCGAAAGAGCATAATCGTGTGCCACTGGGCTTCCTGAAAGAGCGCCTGTTTTGGCACTGCTTGTTTTTGGCAAAAATTTGCCAAATTTTCGACAATGATAAAATTATTAAGAAATATTTTGGTGACGCCGAGCACATGCACAACTTGTCGACATCATACAAAAGCAGTCACCCAACCACTGTGAGTATTACTACGTTGTAACTTTGGGTATCTGTTACTCATTTTCCTTATTTTTTAAACGAATTGTGATGGGATCACAACTGGCCAGTTGGCATTTCCGGATAATCATTCAGCGTTCTATGCTTGAGTCAGGAAGCTTATGTTCCCTCGGTGAACGGTGAAGGCGTTCGGGAAGTAGCCCAAGAAAGATAGCTGTGTCTGGAGCTACTACCCACTGGCAATGCTATCGATGGTTTACTCTTCCGAGAGTTACCTGCAAGTAAGCTGAGGGTTCATTTGGCTGCCTGGCATATTTTAATGGCAGTTTACTATCGAAATGAATTGTACGAATGGTTATCTCACGGAAGAAACATGCCCTCAATCCCTGACTTCAGTGTCACCTTCCATTCCCTCCGGTATAATTGTGAGTATTATGAACAAGTGCCAAATCTACATTCAATTCAGCGGCACTTTCCGCTCCTATTTTTGGCTCTTGTCCAAAAATTAGGCCGAATTCTAGCAAAAAATTAGACTGAATTCTAGGAAATCATGGAATTAAAGTTTTTTGGGTGCACGAACACCCCTGTCCCTGACTCTGTTGTCCGACCATCGCCATTCTCCTCACAGTTGTTTTCAGCGAAATCGCGCAGTATTACTTCTCTTAATACAACGTGGTCAGTAGAATTTAATAACTTGAATTAGACAGCGAAAACCAAGAGTTAAAGGAAATAAAACACAAATTGATTCATGTCTGCTGTCTTGTGGCGGGGATGATCGCCGGCAAAATTTGGTATAATGCCCGAATAATTAATTGAAATTTTTTTTTAACTCTCTCTCGCCCACTGACAAACAGTTAATCGCAGAAATGCATGGTTTTACTAGGCTCCTTGTGTCGCCATAAACTGAAAATCGTAGACACTAAAATTCATATTAGGGGAACATGAACGTTTGTTTTATCCCTGGAGACCCGCAAGTTTTTAAAATTTCAGCTTCCTAGCTTTCTTAGAACCAATGATGGAAATGCACGTATAAGTTAACATAATGCACGCGCACAAAGAGAGGGAAATCCATCACAGCATGCGTTTTTGCACTGCATAGATGCAAAAAATGCACTAAAGCATTCCAGTTTCTGTAATAAATATTAATTGCGGCAAATTTTGTCACTTTTCTTAATCTTATATGTGCTGTGGCTTTTAAAATTTTTGCTTATAGGTGAAAATCAAAGGCGTGAATACTGTCTATTTATATTTTGGTATGTGGAAGGCAACATTTCCGTGGCATCCCGAAGATATGGATCTTTATTCCATCAATTATGTGCACTTTGGTGAACCAAAGGTTAGCGACGAAACGCTATTTTTTTGCTCCCGTCTCGCTTCATACACTTTTTTCTTGATAAAATAGTTCTAAAGATTACGATTTCCACATATTTTAAATGAAATCAAACACCGAAATCTGCTTTCCATGTTTATTCTGTGCAAGAGGAAAAAGCGCTCAAAAGCCACTCAGCAGCAAACCTTTTTTTCTCGAAAATTGTAAAAAAAAATTGTCATTTTTTGAAACATTGTTGTATGTGTACCACTGAATCTCTTCCTGAAAATATTCGGACACTTTTTTTTTACTTATTTAGA